ACCGTCGAGTATTAAAAAGTGTGTAATTATAAGACCACCTAAGTGCCAGCAACAAATTGTAAATGGATGTGCTCAAGACTATATTAAGAAAACTGACAATTATCTGAAATATAGTAATTTGCTGAGGCTTGGCTTGACTTGTCCTGGCTTCTTCTGTTACTGCTTCTGTTGTTGCTGTGGGAATTTGCAGCGCTTGTGGAAATGAAAATTAATTAGTAATTTATCTGTATTGGAATTACAATCCGTACCATATAAACAAAAACCGTCAACAATTTAATAATAACCTGGGATGGACGTTTATGGAAAACCTTATAGCCTTTTGTAAACACTTTCTATTAATTAAAAGCGATGCCACTAATTGCATCAAACGTTCGTTTCGGATTCCAAGTCACCTGTCTTTTTTTCCTCTCTTTCATTCTTCCTCTATATGCAGTCTTCCTCAACGCGCATTTGGCGAATAGCTCCTCGGGGATTCGAACGGCTTTAAAAATGAGTAAAAGGACGAGCGAGGAAGATGGAATCTTCTCAGAAAAAGAGCGAACGAAACAGATTATTATCTTATTATCTCGTCCGATTTGAGCAATTTTACATGGATCTTAGGAATAATTAGATTTTCGGTGACCGTTTCATCCTGATCTCCGATTGTCTGGGGGAGCATAAAAGTGTGATTTAAGGCTCGTGTTAGTTGCGGTGACTTAAGAAGGGTGCTGCTGCTGTTGCTGCTGCTGCTGCCGCTGCAGGCGAAGACCAACCTACATAATACGCATTTCCCCACGAAGGAAAGGTTGACATAAATGGAGCTGTCATCGCTACCTACAGCGTTGACACCTGGATGACAACGGCCCTTGTGTATTGTTTGCAAATATATTGCTACTTATTTCCGTTGTCAGCCAACAATGCCCCCGATACAAGAAAACCATTTAAAGCCTGAGCTCTGCCTTCCCACCAGACATTTACATAAATCGTAATAAATCTCATAACACAATCCATTCGATACTTTTGTTCTTACTCCCAGTGCATTAAATATATTAAATGTGTATTACAAAGAGAAAAAGAACAATTAGATATTTTCATATAAAATAATAAATCGTTAATTAATAAATATTTATTTATTAAAAAATAATAATGATCAAATAATTTATTGAATATTCGCTCATATATAATTAAAAGGTCTATTGATCGCAGGGTTTCCGCACATCAAAAATAATAATAAAATTAATATTGATAAGTATATTTATTAATTATTATTGGTATCACATTTCATATTACTATAATATGAAATAGAAAAAGGATTTTAATAATAGTATTGTGTCTTACAATAACTATGTTATTACTACCCTTAACTTTTTGGACCAAATTTTAATAAATAAATATATAATATAAAAATACGTTCATTATAAAATATTACTGTTTATTAGGTTTCAAACAGATATTTGTATGATAGTTCACAATATTAATTTAGTCTCCTTATTTTTAGTTCTCCTTATTTCTCCTTATTTTTGGTTCCTCGATTAGTTCGGTTTCAAACAGTTCGGAATTTTGGCAGAAGCAATTAATCACAATGTGCTGTATTTTTTTGTAATCATAATATTTTCAAGAGTCTACTAATTAAAATCAATTGAATTGCCTTGTAAATAATTATATTTTGAAGTTGAAGAATCAATAACCTTTTAAATTTTTTTATTATTCACTTTAACTTTTAATAATAATAATCATTAGTTATATATATTAGACTGTTGTTTTTTCGTCTAATTTGACTTTTATAATTAATAAAATAATATTTTAAATAGTGAAAAGATTTTTTTTTTAAAGAATGTCATTGCGTAGTAGATTTTATAAAACAACATTATGGATTGCATATTTTTTTCAATGTATGAATCATGAATACAGTGAATCATTTGGGATCACATCATTCATACACCTTCTCATTTTAATGCCAATCCATAAACCGTATTTGAATCGCGTCCCATTTCATATCTCTAACACCAATAATTCCTTACGAAAGACCTTTTGTCTGGTCAAATGTCATATTTAAAATACATTTGGAGCAGATAAAATATGCTCTTTTCTCCGAAATCCAATAAAAATATCGCATAAGTAATTTACAGATGACGTTCATTGCATTTTAATACGATTTAAGTGCTTTTGATAAGCTACAGTCATCCAGATTTAAAATGATTTATATTGCAAACTAAGTTATCACATTCAATTCTTTACAAGATATTATTTTGTTATTAAAGTCAAAAAAGGAATTTCTTAATTCAAATATAAATAATGGTTGAGTTTATCTTTAATATATTAATAATTTAAATCATTAACAAAATAATATATGAACCATTTTAATATGTTAATAGTAAACAATTTCTAACTCTGAAAATGAGTAATATTTCTATTATATAAAGATATTTATGAAAATTTATTTCATTTTGTTCTTCAACAATTTGATATTTTCTTATAAAGGTATTACGAACAAAATTCCAAAAGCTCTAATTTGTTACAAGGAGATATATAGTGATAATAAATTAACAGTCCAAACAAAAATTGATAATTTCTTTAATAAAATATAATATTTTTGGAAGATATCATTTTGTCGTTTTTTATTAAATAATTGTAATGTCTATATTGAAAAGTATTTGTATGTATTTAGTTTATTTTAATCTATTTTTTCAAATTTATGCAGTCAGTAATACGGAATTTAACATATATAACAATAAAATTCATGATAAAGTGTTGTAAGATAAGTATATTTTGAACAACCCGTTGGAACGGAACTAGTTCGTAAGTCTTAAGTATTAAATTTTTGGTTAATAAATTCATTATTTTTAGGTTGATACATAATTATGATGAATATTATAATTAAAATGTTTTATTTATTAATATTAATATTTGTTATTAGTCCTTTGTAACTTTTTGTTCTATTATTTCTGTATGGAATTTTTTAATCTTGTTTTTTTGTAATGTTGCAATAAATATTATCAGTTTTTGTTACTAAATATGTTATGTTGTTGTTGGAGCTAAAATATATTTTTTTATATTACTATTTACATAATGTATAAGAACTTTTTCATATATTCTGTATTTTGCAAAAAATGAGTTTAGGTTTGTGAATTTTCCTTTTCTCGACTTTATTTATTTTATATAAAAACGTATATATTTATGTTTTCAAAAAGTATCAATTTTTAAATGTTTTTTTTAGTGAGTGGTCATTGTTATGGTTTGACATATTATCTCAATTTACGGTGAAGTCTCTATACCTAGATGGCAGCTCTTGTGGTAGGTAAACTGGTGGACGTTATATTATATTATTTGTCTGCCTGGTCGACAGTGGACAGGACGGGACAACTTGACTGACATCCAAACATAATTGTTTGTAATAGCTTTACGACTTTTACCAATACATGTGATCCCTGTCGTTCTATACAGAATGTGCGATGTCTCTTGCACGGCGTTTAGATACACCCGACGATGGATGAAGAAGTCCGGGTCGTTTCTTCGTATATAACCAGCTTAGAATAATGCACAAGTAATAAAAAGAGGGTGGAGCGGAATATAAAATTATCTATGCATTTTTCATTTCATGCCTATGTGTATAGTTATTATTATTTTATTATGGCATTCGTCGCTTTTTCTATATTTTCAATTATTATGGTGATACCTTTTTTTGTGTCGAATAATAGTGCATATATAATAATAATAGCGTATATTGTTACGGTACAAAGGCCTACAGCATACTAGATATAAGAAGGTATGATTTCAAACCAAAAGAAATGACCTTTTGTTCCGATAGTCACAGTTATGAAACAAATTGAGTAATTTATATTCGTAATGTTGCCAATAAATACACATAATTATTTTTGGAATATTCTAGTCTAACGGATTCGTAATAATTTTCAAAATTCTGTCGATTAATATTAATAATATCTATTAAATTCAGAACTTATGAATTTTCTTATCACTTGCACATTTTTAATACGCAATATATATTGTGATAAAAATGTGTCAAATTTAACTTAAAATATAATTCGATTAACACATATTTTAGTCACCTACAGTATTTACCAACGTTTTTACAGAAATGTAAAAAAAAAGAAATTTTAGTGGACATTTTAGTTTAATTTTGTAATATCTGTTGAAGTATTTGGTCTTAAATAATTATTATTCTATAATAAGGAAACTTTATTCAAATACAAAAAAAAGTATTTTATGATGTTCAAGAATTAATTGTATATAATTTATAATATATTTTCAAATAAATTAAGGATTTTTTGTGTTTTTACCAATTTGTTTAAGTTATCTGCAATTAATATTTTTTTATTTATGTTTTTAACTGATTTTTTTATATAATTATATCGATAAATATAAAAATATAATCATAATCAAATAATTATGATTATATTATTTTTATAATAATTATAATAAAATATAAAACTTTTATAGGACTATTGACCATAGATCTTTACATCCAATCAATTACTTATATTGTTTCCTAACTCATTGTCACTACGCAATATAGAATGTTTTCGTATTATGTTACAAATATGTGACATACAATAGATTCGATAGAAGTAAAATTTCATATAAATTTGTTATTGATCTATGCAATAATTAAAAATAAAATATTTAAGATATCAATGATTACTCATTGTAACTTGGTCATATGTTGTCTATGCAATTCTCTAAATTATACGTATGTATCGTTTCCTTGAAATTGCATGCGTTTTAATTAATAAAAGAACAGATACGTATTTTGTTTACTGCTTGCCACTTTAATTTGCAAATAGTTTCTGAAACGCCAATGACTAACGTAAATCGAGCAAACTAGCGGCGTTTAGGAAATCGAGTGATCATAAATATTAATTCCACTAATGTTGGAAATAAAGGAGAGAGCGAATGAGTCAATTATGCAACGAGTTGCAGGAAATTCATTCTGTCCAAACGCAATTTCCTTGTAAATATACGATGTATTATTGTTGTTATTGCCTACGATTGCGGCCACTTACCTTTCTTCAGAATGGAACTGGTGTAGGGGTTCTGTTTGTTAGCTAAAGTTGAGCAGTTCCATCTGTGCGTTTGGAATTGATGCTGACACTCGGACATAGCCTCCTGGAGTCCTTGTAGTGCTGCAACCGTGACGTCGGGCTGCTTGAAGCACAGCTCCTGCTGGAACTTGGTGAAGCCTGGAATCGTCCTGCAGACAGTATTGTCAAAGATTGAGGCTATGGGCAGCGTCGACTGCATGGCCATTTGCTGATTCAGATTGGAGATTTTGCCGTAAACCCTGCGAAGAGCAAAAAGATTTCAATTATGTTCGGGGTGGGTGAATGCATTACAGGATAAAAGAAGAAGAAGGATATAAAAATGTGGTGAAAGAAATACGAAAGAAGAGAGAGAAAATGACGGGGCCTTCGATAATCTGGAGCTGGATGGCATTCCAGCAGAAGAATGCTAACATGTAAAATGTGTGGACACACGTGGGAAAATAGCCGAAGCGAATAAAATTCATGCCATAGCTCTAAATCATTTCTCCCCGTCTTTGTTTCACTAATTAGTGACGCATGTGAGCCTCTCTATCATTCGCTACTTGACCGACGGACGTCATGGGACTCTCTTGATAAACGCGACGATACCGAGTGCCTCACTTTATATTATTTATCTCTTCTCTTCGTCTCCTCTTCTCTTCTTTTTTTTTCAACTTCTTCTTCTGCTGTTCATCCGAGTCCGCTCTTCAATCTGGTATCAGATTTACGCTGGTTATCTTCCACTACCCAAACTGACAAATTAAATTCAATTACTTGGCGATTTACTAATTCCGATCGAACATCACTTTGTCCACCCCGATTAACATAAATATGCTTTTCGTTCGATATATATTTTTTTTTTGGGAACCTCGTCGGGAATCGTTTCACATGTCCTTTCGGTCATTTCACAATCCTACATAAATTACCATCGGTAATGGCAGATGAACCAAATACACTCTTGTAAAGGTTAAACTTTATGGCTGCTTCCTTGTAGCTTGTAGATTGATCCGAGAGCAGGGAAAGCAGATTGATCGACTTATCTGAACGTTAATCGATGCACTCAACATTTACATGCATGTATTCAACAAATTGAGATTGATAATGACAATTTATATTTATATATAGGACGAAATGGACGTCTTTTTACGTTTCTCCTCCTTCGTTTTGCAAACGCTCTTTGCCGTACACCTAATTTAGTCAGGCATGAATATTTATCCGTAGACCATTTCAATAAATTACGTTGCCTACTAAAATGCAGCCAATATAATTGTTTAAATTAAACGTTATTTACATATCGTTGCATTCAGCTTGTTTAGAACGCACACTCCTCCTGCCATCAGATCTCCACTCTTCGCCTCTCGTTCCTTCTCCTCCTCCTTACAGCAACCCGACGTTCGCTTATTTTATTACGCAATTTATGTGACTTCGATACTCTCAAATTGATTTATTTAATTATTTGTAACAACAATCAACTTTGCGAACGTTCCGATCTAATCGCTTCATCTACAAACTTGTATTATTCATGCATGCAAACGATTTACTGCAAACCCGGCAAACAGGATTACGCAATTCATTGCGATTCACGTCGAATTGTTATTTAAATATTTTACTATTCTCTTAGGAAACAATTTTATACACAACAATAAAGTAAAGTGACTTTATTCAGATATAAATTACACGCAATTACGTTTACGCAACTCTCATTTTCTCATACACGGCAAGTATTTAACTGATAACAAACCAATTGCAAATAAATTTATAAAGTGAATATATTATTGAAATTGTTTCTTGTGGAATATTATTCTTAAAAGGTTTTATTTTCAATAAATATAATCAACATTACAACATAATTATTTTAAAATAAAATATATAATTGAATATTTAAAAATAAATTTAATAGATATCACTGATTTATACTTTATACAATAATTAGTATTAATTAATAAGACTTAATCCAATTTATTCGCCTTTATTAAAACAATCGTACAAGATATTTATTTTTTATCACAAAACATATTATATTAATGTATAATTAGTAAATATATATATTTTTTTAACTTTATATTGTACTTCAACTTTAATTTTTATATAAATAAATATACATAATACATATTTTACTAAATATAAAAATTAATTATATTTTTGGACAAAAAGACCAGTTATGTATGTGAAAATAAATAAATTTTCAAAATTAATTAACTAATAGAAACACGAATAACAACTGCAGTAATCATATCTACATTTTAAATTATATCATTTGTTAATGCCAATGCAATTTATTAAAATAAATATTAGTAGCGTAGAAGTTCAACTGAAGCTGATCAAGTAATTGGCTGTATTCAATGTAATTTGCATAATTACGTGAGCTAAAGGGTATAAGTATAATACGCTATGTATACTGGCTACACCTCGAGTTATTATTGATTAATGTCTTTTTGACTATGCATAAAAAAATGAGGAATCGTGGCTTTAGAATGCATCTATTATTCAACAAATCTTGAGGATATGATTGATGAAAATGATATACCATTACACAATCGCAAATATTTGAAAGTACTCCAATTATTCTCCTTGATATAATGTAATTTTGTTTAATTTGCTTACGACATGAGCTCATCCATTAGTAAAATTACGTGGAATTTGTTGCATAAATATGATATAATGTAATATATTTTTTTGTAACTATATTATTTTTAAATTTAATTTTTAATATATTGTTTAATCGTTGTTACTTACATCAATTATGTTCAATAAGATAATTTATTTTATGAATAAACATTTATTTTATATTTGCAAAAATAAATATTATAAAGATCTTCTAAAATGTTGCATATGGTAGGTAGGTATACCATATAGGCATAATAAAAAGGGTGAGTTTGGATATCGGATATTTGGGATTGCGTAGGTCTTCTCTATCAATTACTAAGATAAGCAATCTGAAGTCTTACTGGAGCGGCAATAACCACTCCAATCGTAGCACTGGAAACCTGGTTGAACCTACCATCGGTGTATAAAATTGCGTGGGCAGAAAAGAAATACTCCTATTGGATGAAAACACATGTATGCCAGTGTATAATCAATCATATCAATGTATAAAGTATCACATAAAAACATATTTTTAGTATGTTTAAAACAATATATTTTTATTAGAAATTAAATTTAAAAAATAACAAACAAAATATTATCTCATAATCGAAAACTTTATTTGCAAAGTTTTGATTATGAGTTTGAAACAAAAAGAAGATATTAGAGAATTAATTTTTAAAGGCAGATTATATTTCAATATTTTAATAAAATATGATAAATTATATTAGTTGTGTAATAATTCATGTTTGTTATATAAAATAGTATTATTGATAATTATATGAAGAAATGTTTGTTGATATCAAAGAATGTAAATATAATCTTTAATATTCAATCCCGGTTATAACTGTGGCCGAAAATAAGATTATAAAACACAACAATCAGAGAGACAAATATTTTTTTTGTGGCGAATGCACCAGAAATTGAAAAAACACATCTGATTTTGTCATTTTAGAAGAAATGTCTTCGTTCCAGTAGTTTGATACAGTTTCAGCTCTTTTCAAATTAATAATATTTTGTCTGGTTTTACTTTTTCCATATTGAGAGAATTAATAAAGATTCACTAGTATCAGTAATCATTAAGTTCCATTCTGTGTCATGGAATACCCAATTCTCATTTAATATTTAGCTATGATTTTGAAAAAAAAACAGTCTGTTTATGAGATATATATAACATTCGTTAATATTCCTTTCCTAATAATTCAGGGATTTAAAACGTGGAATCAGGAAAAATTAGTGAAATGCTGGGAAAAATTCACTACTTGTAATGTTGTTCAGTAAGTGATCAAACGTAAATATATTTCATTGACTTGAAATACTAAATAACAAATAAGTATTTTCATTACTGAAAAATATATGGATCTACAAAAATATCGAATGTTCAAATTATTTTATTCATATTTTAAATAGTTTTGCGTAATAGTATTAAATAGACAATTGTAGTATTATTAAATAATTAGTACGATTATATTTTTTTTTTTTTGTAAAAACATTATTTTTTATAATTGTTTGAAATAAATATTAATTATATTATAAGTAAATGCAACAATTTTCGATTTCTTCTTTATTTTCTCAAAACAAAAAGATGATGTTAGGTATGTTTTCACAGGTAAACTTCTGGAAATTTACGAATACAAATTTATGGTCTAAATATTGTGATGTCGTTTTTAATTAACAAAATGAAATAAAATATAGAAAAAATAAACCACCCATCATACTTCATTCTACCAATAAGAGTAAACCGATATTTAATGAGCACAAATACGTTGTTCTCGGAAACGACGTGTGCAAATCAAACACCTGAAATATTCCACGAAGTGACAGTAAAACAATAAAAAGTGAACGTCACTTTACGTAAATATAATAAATTTTGACAAAGCCTGTCAACCTAAGAATAAAAAAAAGTATTTACGCTCTTCGAATTCACGTAATTTATTACAAAAAAAATTGTATATATTTATACCCAACCCAAAAATGAAAAGAAAATAAAACGAGACATTCGAGGTCTGCCGAAACTCCTCCCACATTTTTACATATCAACCAATAAGCACGAAATGGACTTAAATAACTTTTGCAGAACGAATATATATATTTTTTTAAAATAAATATTTACATTAAATTATGCAATTATTATTACATAAATTTGGGAAATTTAGTAATACATTAAAGGTATGACTTGTATTATAAATTAGCGTGTTTTCATTTAAGTTATAAATAGAACGACGTAATTAACTAGAATTTGTAAATAGCATTAGTCATTCGTATTTATGCAGAGTGCACTTGCATTTATTGCGATAATTATAATAATTACAATTAATATTGGAATAAATTAAATTATTCATAATTGCGCCAATTATATTTCAAGTGCGTGTTTATTTAAGTTAAGGAAATAACGTGGTCGAAAAATGCAGATTAAAAAAAATATCTTGGGAAGAAAATATATAACTTCTGGAATATCTGCGTGTGTTGGAAAAATCAAAACCAGAAATCAATTAAACTAATTAAATTAAAAGTAAACAGAATCATTATTTCCATACTCCTGCTTTTCTGTGATTGAAATACGGAGAAATCGAAATCAATTGAACTACAATTATCTTCACTTTTAATTGAATACAATATACGTAATTTCAAGAAAAGTTTGTATTAATTTCTTATATAAATTCATTTAAATATAAATTATATAGTTACTTTTTACATAATTACATGAAGATAACTAATTATGATAAGTATTAATTAGTTTAATTTCAAGTCTAATCAAATACAGTTGAGCAAAATATGAAATTAATTTAAGTAAACCTAATATAAAATAATATTTCCATTAAATCCTATAAAAAGATTATAATAATTCCATTTATGTAGGGCAATCTTATATAACACATCTAATTCTGTTCATTATATCTATGCCATATAAAATATTTAATTTACATCCACTTTCTAATTGGATCCAGTCCATAAATAAATTAAAACAGCCAAAAGTAATATAAAATGACATTAATTACTAATTATTTTCTATTTCGGTTCACGTTGAAGCAATAAACTATTTTAATTATAAATTAAATCAATCGAAGGAAATGGAAATTACAACTTGTATTTATAATTAAATTAAATATAATCAGTCCAAAAACTTATTTAAAAAAATAAATAATGATAATTCAGAAGAATGTAAGTATTTGTTGAAATTACAATTATTTGAAACCCTCTAAATAATTAATATAATTATTTAATAATGATTTAAATATATTATAGAAAACTAGTAGCAATTTAAAAATTAAATAGTACAGTAATAAATAATTTAAAATAAAATTAATTTACTTAAATCACAAGAACTTTTCACCTTATATTTATTTGTCATTCTGTGAAAACGGATACTTTAAAGAATTTATATTACCTGTAATTAAAGATTTAAAGTAATCATATCTTATTAGAATAAAATTAATGAAAGGTATTTATTTGCATATGCTCATATTTTAAAAGAAAAGTAATTAATTACAAGATATTACAGTATACATAATTGGTCTTATTTTACATATAATTATCAAAATTGAATCCAATAAATAAATTTAATTAGTAGTTTAAATTATTACTTTAATAAGTTGAAAATTTATTATAGAATCAAGAATTTATTTAAGTAAAAGTTTTGTCGAAATTATGTTTTAATTGGAATAATATTTTCTTTGAAGCTAGAAAATTGACAGTTGCAAATTATGTTTTTTTTATTAGAAAACAAACGAATTTAGTTTTATGTAACTTATGTATTTATAAATTGTAATAGAAAATGCAAAGTAATTAATGTAACAATATGAGCTATGTGAAATAAGTAATTTGCAAACTATGCAGTTTGTGAAATATAAGATTGAAAATGTAAAATGGTGTATATTGAATTGGAAATAGTTATAAAGGACTTTTTTGAGCTTACCATGATTCAAAATTCAAAGATGAGAAAAGAATCACCACCAACGTTATGACAGTTCTCATTTTTCGGACATTGCACCGCTTTGGTAGGCCGAGTTTCCGCACATGAACAACTAAGATCACGCACTTGTTCTGTTGTTGTTGTTCCTGTTTTTGTTGTTTGTCACCGTATTGATTTACGCCATAGTGTGCCGTGCGTCAATGATTGAACTAGTATGAAGTGTGATTAGTTTATGGTTCATTCTATTGCGCTCGGAAAATGGTTAAAAACCAAAAATAAATAAAGAAAATAAAAAATGATGAACAAAATAAATAAGATTGAAAAGAAGGGAAAACAAAGCTACGGCGAAAACGGTGTGTCGTTTTGTTGTTGAAAATACGAATGGGTATTGTTGGTGGTGATTGGTCGGTCGCGCGAAGTGAGAAAGCGCGCGCGCGCACAGAACTTAAGTACGCGTCCGATTTTCTTGGTAGACGGTAAGGGACTCGATAGGATGGGATGTGATGTGTATTGTTTATGGTGGCAGAGACGCGCTGGATGTGAGGCTGCCGCCGTCGCAGCCGCCACCGGAAGTCCGCCAAGGGGGACCCGGAAGTGGATGGGTCGGATGCGATCCGGGCGGGCGGATGGCTAGGAAGGTCGTTCATTGGACGATGTGGAAATGGGGTATGGCGCACGCAGCGACCGACCGGGCTGCAACGCGTCGAGGGTTGAGAAAGGACCCGTGGTCTATGCCCCATGCATACATCTACACACATGCACATCAGTCGGTCGGCACCTACCGTTGCCCATGAATATGCGGGGGCAGAGGCGGGAACAAACCTAGTGGGGGTTTACCAATTACAACCTACTCAACATCATCAGCATACATTTATCTGCATTGACATTCTGGATGCTCCTTGATGCCCTCATCATACCTGGCGAGCGCACATTCCGCACGACTACCATCGTCACTACTAACATCACCATCTTTTTACTTTTATAGTCTTTTCTGCAAGCCAGATACCCATTACATCCAGGTTTTATAGCAAAATTCAGGGTCGTCTATAGGGTGCAATTTTTGATAATTATACCTATAGTTTCTCTTTCACAAGCATCAACTTTATAAATAAATAATTTAAAAAAATAGAATTGAAACCATCGAAGTTTACATGCATTATACATTAAATTAAACTAGAGCAGAGTACAGATATTGACATAAGATCTGAGTTTGTTAGCCTGTGGGTTGCAAAATAATAGCTGAAACATTACGACAAAGCGAGGAACGGCTAAAATTTATATTCGAGAATGATTTCAACATATATTTTATTCATTTATAAACTCATATTTTTGAACTCAAGGAAATCCTTTGGAAAATAAATGCTTTTCAATTAATTACTTTTTTTTTGTTTGATTATAATTTTATTTTATTTATTTATTATTACCATAAATTTTATTCTCTATTAAAACAATTAATTGTGAAATTCATAACTAACATGATTAATTATAGAAAAAAATATGAAATAAAAACGTTATGTTATGATATGTTTACATTTCACAATTGTATATTCATCTTCAACGATTCTGTATCATTATTTCTTAAGTTTATTTACTTATTTTTCTGTAGAACTTTCTTACAATTAATTTCAAGAATCGTAATTTATTTTTATATTTTTACTTCATTGTTAAAGAATAAAAATGAAATTATCTACGGATAATGAGAAAATAAACGTAATAATTAAAAAGATTATCGAACTTTGAGCATAAATAGAAATAAAAAACGTATTTATATAATCTTAAAAACAAATGTTACAAAAATACTGTCACAAAGGTCTTTTCGCCATTTTACAAACACAACAAATAATATGTCCATAATTTAAATAAATATAATTAAATATAATAATATTAATAAGTATTTCAGTATTCTTTTTTTTATTTATTAATTATTTATTAATTATTTTAAACTTTTTTATTATTTAAAATAATTACTCTTTCTATAGTTAAATTAAAACATTTATTAATAGCATGTAGACAATTTTACCGAATATTCATAATTTAATTTATTTTTCCATATACAGTAAGAATATTAGTATTTTTTCTTGTATTATTAATACAAGTATCCCCTACTTACTTAGTCGAGGGAATTTAAAAAATTTCAAAATATATTTATCATTGTTTTTACTATTATATATGTTAAATTCCGTATTATTGACTGCATGCATTTTAAAAATAGATCAAAATAAACAAAATACTTACTTACAAATAGTTTTCAATGTAGATATCACAATTATTTAATAAAAACGACAAAAGAAACAAATGCAACAAAACAGGTATTATCTTCCAAAAATATTATATTTTATTAAAGAAATTATCAATTTTTGTTTGTACAGTTAATCACTATATATCTCCTTGTAACAAGTTAGAGCTTTTATAATTTTGTTCGTAAGTCCGGGAGTTCGTAAGTCGGGGGATTTTCAAAAATGATACTAAATTAGAAGCTAAACAACAGTTGTGAATGATCCGTTATTTACTGAAGCTCTTACAAAAGGAAAGGCACAAAGAAAATTAACATACACATGGTATTAATTTCACATTCATGTATTTGATGAATGGATTATCAAATCTTGTAGTAGTAGTAATATCTGTATCTCAAAATACAGCATTTTATAATTTAATATTATAGAGAAATTTAATTTGCAAATTGGATAGCGTACTACATTTTAATGATGTATTCATCAATATTTTAAGTCATGAATTTGAAATAAATATCTGAAATTGAGGATGATTTAATTAATTAAGGAGAAAACGATTATTGGCAGAAATTGTATTAAATTTTTGTAATAATATTTTTGGCATTGAGAAACAAACAAATGATAAAAAAAAGTTGTAAATTAAACAATAAAGTACTAGTTTAGCTAATAAAAATTTTTTGCTGAAATGGAAAGAAAAAACTCTTATTACCCAAATAAATTAAATTAATAAAAATAGTTGAAATCGGAGTGACAATAATATTTTCTATTCCTTGTTGAAGATTTTGAACTAGATTCAGTTTTCTAAATATTAAATAATTTCAATTATCCAAAAATACTTATATTACATTTATTGTTTTACGATAAAGTTTATAGTACAAAACTTTAACATAACTTTAAAAATAACTTATTACGACTCTGTTATAATCCATGTTAATCAACAGTAATAGTCATGTCGGTATGATAAATGCGACTGATTGCGAACCGTTTATGAAGCCACGAATCACGACACGCCACAAAGGGATCGATTAAATCCATCAACATAGCTTTATTAATTCGCTGTCGAAGTCCAGTTTTCTTCCTCGTCATATCCTCTGAGATTTTTGTTTTGCTCATCTCTGCTCACTAACAATAACATTCTCAAAATCGCTTACTCGGCGTAAGCGGAAAGCAATCATCGATATTTTTCAGCTGCAAAAAAAAGGAGAAAATAAAAAGAAATAAACAATTCGATTAAAACTTCCACGAGCATAATCATTGTACTTATTCTTGCGTATTCACGCATACTTTAAATAAATTACATTCAGAATACGTGCGACGTAACAAGGACCTAAACTAAAGATAAAACAAACACTTTATATTTTTTACATTTGAAAATTTTACCCTTAAATAATAATAATATTGATTCCAACAAATAATACAAACTTAACAAAGTAAGAAAAATAAAACTAAATTGAATTACTACAATTACCCGATTTTAGACTTACGTAATTATTATACAGCAATGTCTCACATAGTACGTCTTCAGTTAGCGCGGATTCACTATAGTCCAGTTTGAAAATTTTAATAAAAACTATATTGCAATTGACAATACAGAACTAAAGTTTAAATTAATCTTATACAAAATTGTATTGTTATATATAAATGATCGTTTATACAATCAAGTCTGCTTTTGTACAGTTTATTTTTATGCGATTTTAAAGCTTTTTTTTTATATAAATATAAAAGATTCTTTATATTTTCTTAAATTCTTTTAATTTTTCTTTAATAAAATAATACTTGTAAAGAAATAATAATAATAACATTAATTACAACAATCAGAAAATTGCATACAAAAAAAGAATCAAATACTATTTTTTTATAATTTAATTTTATTTTACTCACTTCAAATTTAAATTATTTGGAAATTTTCATACTGTATAGTAAATCCATACTGATCAAAACTGCACTATGTGAGGTATTGCTGCTTAAATATTAAATATAGTATTTACTTTAAAACAAACAACTAAATAAACTGTTTGTTGATTGAATAATCATATACGTAAATTTACGTAACTAGAAAACAACAATTTCATTTAATTAAGTGAAAACTATAAATTCTATTCAAAACATGTTACATTTTAATTAGAACAGACTATATTGCATTGCGTTTTAAATGAATTCGTTTTTGCAGTTGGGAAATATTATAAATTTAACATGCTTTTAATTGTGTTAACCTTTACTCTGAAATATTATTTTACGATACGAATAAACTTACTAGAGTTGTATCATATTGAGAAAAATGCTGACAACTGCATGTGTGCAAAGTTCGTAATTGCAACACTTGCAATTTTATTTATAAAAGTCATTTGATGTATTTTAAATAATTATGTGACGTAATAATGAGTATTCTATCAATTAAATAAATACATTCTTAAAACAATTAAATTCATTTTATTATCACAATATAACTAAATACAAATAATTTTATTGTAATCCAAATTTAGATAAAGTGAGATTTAGTCTAGTTGAACGCTTCTTAAAAAAAACTAATGTTTGATCTTCAAATTCCAACTTAACTCAAAATCAACGACTGTAAAATATAATGAGTATTGATAGTTGCTTTCGAAACTAATCTAAGATTGTCTTTCAAATGTATACTATATTTTTGGTCAGAGGGAGTATATAATATATTCCGTATTCATAAAAAATAAATACAACTAATTAAGTAGCTCCTCCTTAATATTCATAATTTCTTGTTAGTAATTTGTTAATAAACTACTTACTTAATTTAATTGTGGATCTTTCCGCCCACAAACTGTATTTAATAAATATATAGTTTGGAATAATTTATAAAATGCTATAACAATGGTTCAATCATATAATTTGCGTATTCTACCAGAATATGTGTAGTATTTGATGTTAATTTCATAAAACAAATATTTCTCTTACATCCAGTTTAAAAAAAAACATTTCGTTGTATCTTTAAATTGCTCTAGTTTACTATTTTCTTTTAAATTTTCTAATGAATTACATGAATAAATTTAAGAAAAAAAACTGAAGATGCAAATAAAATATATTTTAAAACAGAAATATTATTTAATGTAACGGTTTTACAAAATGTATATGATATTATACATATTAGAGTAGAAAGACCTATGTTCAAGAGTCTTTTGCAGCAATTGACATTTTATTTTATTTTTATTATTGTATTAAGGTTTTATTATGTACAATATTATAATTAACTGTAACTGTCAATTATTTCGTTATATAAGTTGTTTAATGCATGTACAGTATTTTTTTTGTAGAAAACGGTTAAAAAAGTGGATTGGATGTTGATTGCATTAAAACAGATTGGTAACATTATGTGCCTTAAATGGACTGAGCATAATGACAAATTAATGAAGACACACGGCGCAACAACAGCACATCGCGATGATAAATGATCGAGGAGGAAAACGAAGCTCTGAAAATAATAATAACAATAATAATGTGAACGTGACTTTATTATGATTCGTGTGAGGATGGAATTTTGTCACGGAGTGTAACGAAAATGTAACAACAATGTTTCATATTAGATTGAGTGATGATTGAGCATGGCTTCTTCGGAGCGGAGCTCCCCTGCACTCTGTCAAAACACACGAGGATGGGGAAATTATCACCTACTGCGACAACAGCGATGATTGATTAAATCTCTCCCCATTAGGGATGTAAAGAATTAATAGAAAGAAAAAAAAACACGTATCTGTAATGGTTGAGGAAGCGTAAGGGTCTTAATGATTTTGGAAGAAGGTGTTACATTCCGTTGGACTGACAGCAAAGCGCGGGAGGAGGCATGTAAAGAGCAAAAAGGAAGTGATTCTTTTGCCTTCAATGAAACACTTCAACAGAAACATTTTTTTTCTTTCTTTCTCTTTCTTCCTCTCCTTCTTGTTTCGTTGTTACCTTTTCTTCTTGGTTTTTATTATTGTGTTTTCTTTTTTTCTTTTTCTCTTCTTTTCCTGGGAGGGTTAGACGCCGCCATATTAGTTATGGTAGTGAGCAGCAATGCCGAGGCCTCTCGGACCCCACACAATACTTTATCATTAGAGGTGTACTGTTGAATTTCGCAACGGTCTAATGACTCAATGAGAGGAGACCACCTATTATATACGATTATTCCTTAATCTGATTACATTATTTACCTTTTCAATTTCGATCCATTCTTCCTCGTTCTCCTTTCATGCTAGCTAGACGAGATGCTCTCCGGTCCCCCGTATATTTTTTGTTTTCAATGAAACCCCCCGCACGAAAACACCGCCCCGCAAACGCATTGATCCGTTTTGAAAACACTCGCCCCTTTTTAAACTACAATCGCACCGACGGCAGAAAAAAAAACTGAAAGAAACATATTATTACTGAAATTGCGTACTCCCCAATTGCATCATTCATCCCCCACTGGTGGACAGCCCCAAAAGCAGCGAATTTAATACTTGCAAACTAACATCCAATCTGCACATACAATCAACTTAATAATTACGCCTTTCGAGAATAAAATGCCTCAAACGGATTGCGCACCATTCATTACGGCCGAATTACATAAATACCCTTTGGTCTTTGGATTAGAACGTTCATTTAATCTAGATGTAAATATTCATTGGACCGTAAGATCGAAATAGAAACTGGAATGAAGAACGTAACAAAAACTCGTTTGATTATGATGAATGATGCACGTATAAATAATGCATTTAGACAGCTGAGCTTGCCTGGATGCTTTGACATTTGTTTGTTTAGCTTTGTGACATTGTTATTTTAGGAAATTAATACTCATACTTTGAGTAAAAAAAAACTTAAAAGTGTACTGACTAAAATTAAATACAGTAGAACCTCGCTTCCGTTCCAAAATTTCCGGATTTTTACTAGTATAGTGAAACAATTTTCCCCATATAAACTATTGTCAAATACGATAATGCGTTTCATGTCGGAAAAAAAGTATAGCTTGGTCTCGCTTTTTAATGATTTTGATTTTCATATCTATTGTCATTTTTATTCTTTAGCTTTTTATTCGGAGATATGCAAGTGTTATTAAATTTTTCACAAAAAAAACAAATAAAAATACAAATAATATGTGAATACAAGTTTTGAAAATGATGTAACAGACGCACAAACTGAGACTTCTTCTTTCCTCGTAACTCGTTATGCGAAACGTTGCTAATTTTTACTGTTTATTTTGCTCGTTAAGCGAGATTCCACTGTATATAAAATATAATATATTAAAATGACGTTTTCCTTCAAAGTATCAAATTATAAAAAAATATGGCAACTATTTAAATTTCAGCATATTTACTTTGTATTCATTTGTTAATAATAAACATAAATTAGAAAGGCAGAATTAAATTAGTCTATACTTAATGTTATGTTTGTCAGTTCTAGAACAAAAAGACCACAATTTATATTTATCATGTTCTTAATTTTTTATTACTTCAATTATTAAATAAATTATATAAGTTTTATAGATTGTTTCTTCTTAATAATTTTGTAATATTTTTAAACAAACATTCATAATATCGATAGGTATTTTTGTTAATTTATATTAATTTTAATTTATTTTAAATTTTATATATTAAGATTTTTATAAAAAAAAAACAGTAAGAATAAAATATCTAATAAATAACAATAATATTTATTGGCAGCTTATATATAGCGGTAGTAGATTTAATAATATGTAGATATGCATTCAAATATAAGAAAAAAAATTGTTTCCAATAATAATCAGTAAACAAAATATACATTATTCAGAATTAATTTAATTACTTTCTGTATAGTAAAATGTTGTCATTTTATATTAATAGTTTAGATAAATTAAAGTTTTTGTGATTTTTATGTTTATTATTGCAACATTTGTCATTAATATTATATAAAACTTGTAAAAAATCAATTAATTCATATGAAGTAAAACGATATAATATATAGCAAAATTCTTATAAATTGGTAAAATTGATCAATTAATAATTGTGTTACATAGTTACACTGTAGATGATAAATTTAACAGTCTAATTCTTTGTAGGTTATAAACTAGTCAAATAATTACTGTTAAATTAAAAATAAATAAAAGTGATATGTCTATAAGAACGTTTCTCAACGTTTTTGCCGCATGACCTAACATATTTATTAATAATAGTATTCCATTGCAACTGTTTATAGCAAACTAAGAGTATTTCATCAATTATTCACTTTGACAAAAGGTGGCAGGTGTCATTTCGCGACGCATACGAATTTACACAACCTATGGCTCGGTTGAGAAACTCTGTTCTATAATATTTTCCGTCAAAAAATTTACAATTACTTTGATTTTTATGAAATTTGCATATAAACATATATTTATAGGATAATTTTAATAAATATTTATAGCACGTTATTTGCATTTGTCGTATGATATTATTCAATCATTCATTAATAATCTTGTGTATACCAACATATTTCTTGTTCATTTATAACTGTTGCAATAATTATATAAAACAATATGATTTTATAATATATATTTAGTAAAAATCTGACATATATCAGTAAAAGTTGAAAATAATAAACACAGTTGTTGTATATCAAGGTTAGGTTAGGTTAGATTAGGTCACCAACAAACAATGTGTTAGGTTCAAAATAAAATAATTCTGTGTTTGTGTGATTATTTTTTTTGGCGTGACATAACTTATATATTTTATTTGCCTATATGAACATTTACCGACGTCATTGGGTAAGTGTATACATTTCCCGGAAATGGTGGGTAAATGTAAGTTGAACTTATATTTACCGATTATGTACTTTTACCGTAACATATATATTAGTAAACTCAATTTATTATGAATATATTATTTTAGTATTGGAAAATACTATTTCGTTGTGTAATAAATAATCTTCTAATCAAATATTTTAATTTACTGATGTAGAAAGAAATCAAAATGTGAATATATGTTGTTCTGAGGATGGACTAAATAGTTGACAGTATTTTGTCATTAGGAGAAATAAGAAGAATAAAAAAACGAAGAGTAATACTCGTGGAAAGAGAAATCCCATCGGATGCTTTGAATAGTTTTACCCCAACAATTCCACATATTCATTTATTTTCCACGATCAATTTTGTAAATGAAATAGTTGTCGTGTTTAAAATTTAATTGCCTTAAGAGGGGCGCTCTTATGTAAATGGGCCTAATTAGTAGGACTAATTGCCTACACGGACCTTAGCAAACGGGTTCCGAATCTGGGAAGCCGAGAACCCGAAATAATTGACAGAACGAGAGGATGCCGTGTAACAAGGACGGGACGAGGGCGACAACAAATGAAGAAGAAGAAGAAGGTTCTGAAGGTTCGCAGGACGCAAATCACGGAGGTGCGATGAACGGAGGCGGAGCCTGTCCACACCTACAACAATAACAACAACAGGACAATATTGCACATCGATTTGAATCCTCTGTTTCGATCGAGAATAACATTGATCTTCGATGTTCTTTTCAGAAGATGAGACGCGACTTCCTTCTAAATAAGCGGATGCAATTAAGCATTTAATGAGGTGCTCGTCGAGATTAAGAATTAATTAGTTAATAAATTTAAAGTTTATGTGTATCGTAAAGATTGCTAATTTACTGGCTAAAAAAGACGAGCTAAAACGATCGATAAAATTTTTATCTCGATTCGAGTTGGAAGCTCGCCGTTTAAATAATTGATCTGACCTTTACTTTACGCGCCATCAATTAAAATATTTTCGAAAAATAAAAGAAGTATACAGACGCGCACAACGATAATGTAAAAGTAAAGTTGGTTTTAAACGAGATACAAAAAAAAAAGTCCTCCGAGTGCCAACTATTTAAATGCCACACACAACGTACTGGTTTCATTAAAAAAAAAATAGTTATATAAATACATGGGAGAGAACATCGGATGGTGGATGTAAAGAGGACTAGGTCAAATTTAATTGTTGTGCAGCAAGTGTACGAGAGGGAACGCCAGGAATTTCATAACAATTCCCGTTTCTCGAGATAACTTTTTTAATAAGCAAAACATTCCGCATCCGCTCTTCCGCGCGTTACAAAGCGATAGGGATACAAATATTTTTGCCCGGAATGCAGACGAACTTTGCCTTCGTGTATTTATGTACCTATATATACGCATTCAGAAAATTAAATTAAAATTCCTTTTTTTTTTTTGCAAATTTATATTTTATATAACAACAAAGTTCACATTGTTAACAATAATAAATTAATAAATAAGTATAATTATTTTTGATCTTTAGAGCCTAATTCCATTGGACACTAGACTACCTTTAAGCATGTAATATAATTCTAATTGGTCTTCGGGGCGCAGCGTTAATATTCTATGAAAAATATCTTGAGTGCTGCGGTTGGCGCTATTGCCACCAACGAAACTAGTTATGTAAACATTTACGAAAGTGATCATAACTAATTGACAGTCGAATCGATCCATGATTCCACCGTGTCCAGGAATCGTGTCACCAAAGTCTTTAACTTTGAAGGCTCTCTTGAAGCCGGAAGCGAAGAATCCTCCGAATGGAGCCACCAAACTGCCGAAAACTGAGAACCAGAAAGCGTGTATTACGAACGGGTACATTTGTACGCCGAACCTTGGAAAGTCCATCAACTGGAACATGTCATCCGGCGTGCACTGGGTTATCTTGACAATCTCGTAATTAATCTGGCGATACTCTATCGGACAGATCAGAAACTCATTGCCGCACAGGAAGTAAGCCAAGGAACATGTGATAAGAATCGTAAAGATCCCTGCACCTATGAAGCCTTCCCAAGTTTTCTTCGGAGATAGACTTATTAGAGGTGTCCTCCCGAAGAATCTTCCGCAGATGTACGCCATGATATCGTTGACGGTGATTGTAGTGATGCAGATGATGAACCAGATCATCCCTTGGAATATAGTCTTAGCAATTAAATAGGATTGCACCACTAGCACCAAAAGAATAACATGCGTCCAAGCCAACAGAGAGAATTGTTTCCTATAATGGTGCTTCTTCAAGCTAAGCACAAACCACATCACGCCTATGAAGTAAAAGCAGAACGAAAAGAACCTGTGGTATGTAGCTAAAGTGTTTAGGGTATCCACTAAGTTAATGAATGGTCCAAAATACTCGATGATAGTTTCACCGCCAAAATATATATTGGCAGAAACTAAAAAGTAGTTGGCAATGTATTTGAAATTGGGTATAGTACTAATATCGTGCTTCTTGTAAGCTATGGCGATGATTTCGTAGAAGCACTTCACTTGGGCTGCGAGTGTGGTTAATAGGATAGTTATTGGTCCGCCGTAGATGACGAAGACGAAGTAACCCAGTAGAATTATGCAGAATACAGTTCTCTTTAAGACGTTTTGCATGGATGCCGGAAGCTTCCTGAAGTTATCCATGATCGTTCTGCTCTGAGCGAGCTTGTCCAATTTGGAGTAGGGCTTCTTCGTACTCTTGCTATCCGGCACCGAAGATCTCCTCCTCATATGGAGGTGCAATAAATCCGGACCGATTGTCATCTTGATCTGCGAACAAACAGAAACAGCGTTCAACAAATGTTTCGTTATACTAACAGCACATGATTAATGACTTACAAATTAATATATAATATACACGGTTTACTTTGCGTCTCGCTCGCTCGCTTAGCTAATAAATATGTCACATGTCAACGTTTGGCAGTAGACGACTGGAGCGATTATATGAAGCTATGAACATTGTAAATGTATCACGCACATATTATTATCAGAATATGATAAGATAGGCTTTTATTAAGATTGCACTAAGTAAATAAATATAGAATGACTGTTCGTGGAACTATTTCGTTTGCAGACAATCTAACTAAATTGAGACTAAAAGTAAACAACAATTTCATGATTTTTTTAAACCTATTCGATAACAATTTATGAGTATTATTAGCAATATCATAAATACATAATGAATAACAAAGGTGTAATGTGTATACAATAAACATGTGATGCAATTAAAAATAGGTTACAGGGCCGCAGCAAAGGAATATTGCGCATTGGGCCAAATTTAATTTGCACCCGCGTTTCAAGAAATCAAAAAGGTCAAATATTTAATTTGCGCGCTCCTCCCCTTAAGAAAACAGTACTATTACCTCTTACTTGTGACCCTACTATTGATGTGCCTGGGGCAGTCACCCTTTTTGCACCCTCCTTGTTTATAGATTATTAGTATATTGAATAATCATAAAATGATTGAGGTAGGTATTTATATAAGTAAACGAAAGTTAAATGTTGTTTACTTTAATGATATTAATATTTAAAAATTATTAAACATAAATGTAATTAAAAACCCTTTTGGGCCTATAATTATTGAAATTAACAAGTTATTTAGACGTAAATATTATGTAATATGTCTAGTGGTAAAAACCTACCCAAATGAGAACAGTAACAGAAATTAAATAAAGAAATGCTTATTATATTTGATTATTCTGCATTATTATATATAAACCGGACAATTTGAGAGATCAATTAAATATTTTTTGAGGAAAAGATATAATTTATTAGATATTTCTGATGATAATGCTTTCATTACTAAGTCATACTAAGTTATAATATATTCCTGCTCTATAAAACTGTAACGAAAAGTTCTAATAATTATACTAAAATATGATTAATTAACATTATAAAATAATTGATTTCTGATTAGATACAATCAATAAACAAAATATAATCTTAATTTAAATCAAATAAATATTTACAAATTATAAAGTAAGATAACGAAACAATAATTTGTAATCTTTTCTTTTATAAATACGTTACTTTTTGTTGGCTTAACTGTTTATATATTACTTAATATATTAACAAAAACAGTTAAGTAAAATTACTGAAGTAATATAGTAATAATTAAATTAATTTATTCCCATGATTATGATAGGTAAATATATTATATGTAATAATTAAGAAAGTATAATGATAGAAATATTGCACATAAATATGCTCCGAGTAAAACAATTTATAGGTTATTAGTACAAAATAACAATGCAATTATTTCGCATTACACAATTATTACTTTTTAGATTATACCAGAAGTGTAACATTGTAAACGGAATTGAGAAATTATTATCATTATAAATGCATTCATTATCATAAGAATATTGTATAGTTAATTGAGCAGAAATAGCCTTCGGCTAATAAATTCGTAATATTGTGTGCAAATGAGAATAACTACATTTTGCGTTCCGGAGGATTGAAAATGGTGAAATAGCGAGGGAGAACATATAAGTCACTTGGATTTGCTTAATAGACGTTAGAATTGGTAATGGATGCAAGCTTCAGAATACCGAGAAGTTAAGCAGGAAGTCATATTCAGATAATTAAGCGTACATGACGGGACGTAATAAAACAGATAATGTAGATGTAGATCTAAGCAAGAAGGAACATGGCTGTTTTAATAACGTGATTATGTTTGCCTTTCACTGTAATTAATTTTGTATACTGCATGGGTTTCTTAAATCTTATATTTTAAACATTAAGTTAGGAAATATATAATTTAATATTAGTAAACTTTAAAAAAAAATATCCTGCAGTTAATAATCCTCTCTTTTCAGAATAATAATCATTATTGCAACAATCAACAAATAAACATTTTCATTCACAACAATAATAATTAAAATTATTCAACAGTTATTCAACAATAATAACAAAAATGAAATCAGAATACATTTAAATCAAGAGTAATTAATTGTTTATAATAAATTAACAATGTTATAATAAAATTTCAAAGAAATATCGCATATTGTTCTTTTTTGTCTCAACGTTAATTAGATAAATTTAATTTTTGAACACATCTTTGGAAAATAATTGAATTACAAATTTTCATGATACAAGACCCTTTCTTTAACAATTAAGTTCTTTCGTTCTTTACATTCAAACTAAATCAATGAATATTGGTTTACACTATTATTTCATTTTGCATCTGCATCTTCATTCATAATATGCAATAAAGTCTTAAATGTCTTTATTTATTTATTTTAACTTAATTGTTAAATTATTTTGTGTGAGCTGCTTGTATTATATGCATATACATGTTCATTTGTATGTGGATATGTTAATTTTAATTTGTTTGTTTTATGCTATAATGCATCGAGAAAAAAAAAAAAAAACTAGAAAATACGATGAGAAAAAAATTACCTGAACTAATTACATCAGTAAAAGTATATAAATATAAATAATTATATATCAATAAGCAGATTACTGTATTGAAGCCAGAATATTTTATTAGCAAATTTGAATCCGAATGTGCATCTTACAGTTTCACATAATTTTCTATCTACGTAAATATAATATAAATAATTTATTTATTAGTAGCTGTATTCAATTATACTGATGAACACGTGGAACATAAATTATTATAAGATGTATTTCTTGTAATTAAATAAACAAATAATGTATTGAATTATTTTCTGTACAAACATGTTTTATTTTCCACATATAATTAGAATTATAAATAACTTTTCCATAACAAAAAATGTATGCTGATATCACGTTTTATCAGTTGGAAAAAAAATAGTTCAATTACAGAACTTGATATTATTTTATTCGCCGAATTTGGATACTATTCACTCGATTTTTCTGCTTTATTTTTATGTTCATTATAGTGGACAATGCTTGCTCACAAAAGGCGGCAACGTTCTGACTGTTTTAAAATTTCACTTGAAAACATTTGCTAAACGTACTCATTACTCCCAGGACGTGCTTTTTTTTTGACTTTATGACGTATGTCAAATTAAATATCATTTTTGTAATCCAATTATTAGAACATTCGGTGATAATAAATATTATTTATTTGAAAATAATATCTTGACTAAATAATAACATAAATCATTTTCATATGTTTTATTTGTTTGTTAACAAATAAAACAAAGGGGTGACGGGACACGCATTTACCCACCTTTTGAACGTGCCTATCGGGGCATTATTATATTTTTCTAGAAAATGTCCAGGAAAGAAGTGATGAATTTAAATTTTCCATACCATTTGATGTTGATTCTGTTAATGAAGTTGCTTGATTCAGTTGTCTTTTTTTTCTGGCCCTTCAAAGAGTTAAATGAACTATATTTCCAAAAAGCGATTTAGCAATTTTTGCAACAAATGCAAATTATATTTTAGCAATTAAAATAAAATAAACACATCAACAAATGGTCTATTGACAGCAGTCTTAATTATTTTTTTGTATTTATTTATGTTATGTGTCAATTTCAATTAAATCATCATATGAGGAACACTAGTATTTGTTGAACTAATTCAATTATTTAGGGTTGCCATGTATTCGGGTTTTCCAGCACTTGTCCTCTCTTTTCATGTTTCCGGAAAGGATTTATATTTTGACCAGTAATTTTTTTTTACTTTTTTTTTAACTGCCATTATCCTAGTTTGGACATGGAAATTTTCCGATTTCTAAATTTCTCTAGATCATTCGTTTATAAGGAGTTGGAGAACAAATATAGCAGTATATCAGAAGTCTTTAAACGTAAAAGAACATTCTAAACGCTCTGACAAAACGACAACGCCAGAATTTGTTCAAGGAATTCAACAAACCAGCGTTTTTCAAACTCGGCCCCCTTTTGCACTTAAAAAGACTGCATGGAGAAAAACATCCCGGATCGGTTTGTCATCAATTTATCATATCTTCAATCCTTAACATTTTTCAAAAATATAGTTAATTATGAAGTATTTGTTAATTTTTTGGCTTGCATAAATCTGTCCTCAAATACCATGCAGTGGCATGAATGCATTAATAAAATTAGTTAGTGCTTTACTGATTTAATTAATAACTAAAATTAAATATTATACAAATAGGTTCAATATAATACGATGTTATATATTAAAATTGACGATTGAAAGTTGTAAGGAAACGTTAAGAAAAAAAATACTGTATCGATTCTATCGTCGAACCGGCTCTTGCTATTGATATTAAACGTAATTATTGCATAACTAAATAGAGCATGACTTAAGTACACAGCAATCGATATCTTTCAATATGATAATATGGCTTCAACAATCAGTTTCTTGCGCATGCATCATAATTAAATCGTAAATACATATCGAATCTACCGTTCATTACACGTTTATCCCCACTGTATATTTTTATTTTCTATTTATTTAAGTTCTTTCTCTCTCCTTGCTCACCTGATTTATTTTGCCCACGAATCCATTTGCATTCCATCCGACTTAACTTCTTTATTTGTCAAAAAAGGAATACAGGCCAAGAGCGAAGCAACGATGATAACGTTGTCTGCGCTTCACGTATGTGTTTTGTTTGTGTGTGTCTGTGTGTGTGATGTTTTGTTGCACTTTTTTCCTTACTCCTCTTGAACCGAGCGTTTACAATCTGTTGGAATGTAGTTGAGGTAGAGGAATCACATCAAGGTTGAATTAATTGATGAATTTCCGCAGCGCACTAATGAAGAATACAACACATGCACGCTCGTAGTGCGAGAGAGATCGAGGTAAAGAGAGCCAAGAAATACCTCGTTTTATTTTAAATCACACTAGACAAGTTTCGAAAGCCCAACAAGTACTGGAATCGATAAATGATTATTCCCCTTTTTTTATATTTATATGTATATCTTTCTTTCTTCTATATGCTCAGAGTTACGTGACTAAACTGGACAAATTGTCATTGTTCCGACCTAAGAGTATGCGGCACACTGAATACCAGCATTGTAGGGGGAATTGATTACACTAGTTTTATCAGCGCGTATTCAAAAGTAACGCAACTCTAATATTTGGTATCACCTCACTTGCGACACTGCGAATGTTACGTTCAGCGTTACGTTTTTTCGTTCAATGTTTGAAGCATAAGAATTATAAAAAGCGGCAAAAAAAAAAAAAGCACAATGAGCTGATGCGGACGATAACAGCTCGAATCGATATGGTGTGCTGCAGAACTACGGTCACGATAAATGTCATGCCGTTGCCTTATGTTAAATGGCACTAAACTCTTTAACAAACAGTTTCCATTCAAGCCAATTGCCTCACCGTTCGCATGAATAACCACGCAGCATTATGCAATCAAACTAGTCTGTCTCGTTGACATCAAATTGTTTGTGTTACGTAACGTCGGCTCTGACCTTCTGCAACACCGACAGCAACGCTGCATTATTGCTCAATATCTACATAAATTAATAGACGTTCCTCATATTCGAAATATTACTCATCGATTTGAAAATAATGGTACAGTCAATGTTCGAGATTGAAACAAAAAAAATAAAACTCGAATAAAAAATACTTTTGCTAACATTTTAAATAAATATACCAAAACAAATGACATAAGACAATATTCTCTCGAAAAAAAAATTATGTAGTGATAAATGAACAGTTATATCACTTACAATTATTTTTATAGATATATATAATTATTATTGAAATACAGACAAATTTTTTTGTGTACTATTTTTTTAAAATTTATTTTTACTCAATAAAAATATTGATTGTTTTCAAATTTATAGAATATGGATTACCCTAGGTATTGCTGTATTTCTTAATGTGAAATTTAATTTGAAAGTCGAACAATATCCTGGATTATGTTTGAAGTTCGTGGTTATAACTATAATTGTTTTTTTACGTATACAGTTGGTATTTATCACTGCATGTAATTACTTCGGTCACGGGATAACGTTAGACATGTATTTCCATGCAGCGCGATTGCTATTGAAATTGGAGTACACAATAAATGTGACCTCTAAAAATACTATAAATAATCATCGGTGTCCTTGAAAGTAAACTGATAACTGTGTATGTAATAACGCAGACCTTTGTTAAAAATACTGTTGTTATGAACGATACATATTGAGTAGAGAATTTAATTTTCATGAAATGTATGCGAGATATCTCTATAATTGGAGAGATATGAATACAACTATTTGCTTTAACAAATACAACAACAATGTTTATAATTTTCTTATATATTACTCACCACGTTTGTCAATAAGGTATACAGTTTGATAATTAAATGAATTTAACTCTGCTGTTTTTACTGTTAAGCATCGCGTGTCAGCATGAGAGTTACGTGACACAGATTGAGTTCTAATTATATATTGTTGTAGTCTGAAATATGGTGACAATTCAATTACATTTGATTCTGTACTTGCTATATAGTATATACACTTACTAATACATAAATACTTAAATATATTCATTCATATCTTATGAATATACCTTTTTATTTTTAAAATGTTAGATAGAAGTAAATTATTTAACAATTACATGTTTACTGCAATTAAATGAACTAAATCTTATTGTAAAGGTGGCGGAATCACAAACTCTCTTACTTACAACAAAATTCCAAAAGCTTTAACTTGTTACAAACTGTCCAAACAAAAATTGATATTTTTTTTAATAAAATATAATATTTTTGGAAGATGTACTATCTGTTTTGATGCATTTCTTTCTTTTGTCGTTTTTATTAAATAATTGTGATGTCTACATTGAAAAGTATTTGTAAGTAAGTATTTTGTTTATTTTAATCTATTTTTTCAAATTTATCCAGTCAGTTATACGAAATTTAACATATATTAAAGTAAAAACCATGATAAAGTGTGGCAAGATAAGTATATTTTGAATTTTTTTAAATTACCTCGACTTACGATCAAATTTGACTTATGAACAACCCTTTGGAACGAAATTAGTCCGTAGATCGAGGGATATCTGTATATTAATATTTAAGTTTCTGATAATGTTTCATACAATTATGCATGATTTGCTTAACTATATTTATTATAACAATCACGTGTTATTAACTTAATTATAATGTCATTATATTTTTGTATTTTAATAATGTAAATAATATTTCACGCATAATATAGCACTTAATTGTGTAAGGCTTAGTTTTACGTTTGAGTATATATTTGTTTTGATGTAAACTGGGATACAACATATTCTTTCCAAAAAGCAGAACTTTTTTAAAACACCGCGGGAAGCCATACTAATTATGTTAAAGATTTAAAAACTTAATATCATTTAGACATGTTAGTTAATGTACACAAGTTTCATAATTAAAATAGATGTTTATTATAATTATTTAAATATCGGACTAATTATATTCAATTAATTTAAATACAAAATATTAATTATGAAATAAATGTAGAAGATAATATATAATATATTATAGAAATATGTAATGATTTACGGTTAAGAGCTCTTTTTAATGTATTCTTCATTTATGTATATAATAATTTGTATAATTATTGCAAGTAATATTAAGATTTAAAAATAAAATGAATTAGGTTAAAAATCAATATACGTTTCACTATGATATTATCATTTAGTGAAATTGACTATACAGATGATATATATCTAGACCGTTTCCTAAATTCTCCGAAATTATTAGTTTTGTTAATATCGCCTGCACACATAACGATTTAAAACTATTAAAAGGTTCCGAAGCCGGGGGGTCATTAAATTCGCCTCCACCTATCATTTATTTTTTCCGGTGCAGCATAAAGACGGAGAAGACGAACAACAGCAAGAAGAAAAAGAAGAAGACGGAGTAGAGGAGAAGCTTTCGGTTCCATTCCGTTTGATTTATTTTTAATCTGCGATTCACCGGTGCTCAGGTGTCCATCGGAGGTGTCGTGACGGTCATCTGCCAACAAAGAACGTAAAGCAACAACAGAAGAAAAAAAAGAGAACGAAAAAAAAAAGATAATGAGAGAGGAAGAAGTGCTCCCTTTGTTTAGCCTTCTCGCATTTTCAATAAACACAGCGCATCAATCATCCTGCTGCCATTAATTAAGGAGTGCGAAAGGAAAGGATCTCTGCGAGTGCAAGAGAGATGGAATCTGAAAATCGAGATATGGGGGTGGGATAATAATTTAATAAATGCCCATCCGGGATAATGGAGGTCGTGATTTTTCCGTTTCTTATATAATCTTTCTTCTGCTTCGTTTTGTTCTTCGTTTCGTGTTATTTTTTGTTATTGCTGTTGTTCTTTTTGTTGTTGTTGTTGGTGTGTTGAGTGTTCTTTTTTCATCTTCCTCCTTGGTCGGTTGTTTGGTGTATGTGTGTTAACTGAGCGGCGAGGTGTCCAAGGGGCCGGCCCCGGACCTCACACAGAGACCATCCACAGTAAATTAAACCGCGGCCCCAGACTTTCGAAGGCCCGAGAGACCTGAAAGACCCGCGGGGCCCACATATAAAAATCATCTTTTATTGGAAACTAAACTGCCTCCAAATATGTTATTATGATGCCTTTTAATGGCCCCTCGAGACGTTTCCACTTCTCCCGACATGCGAAAGGAAATATATATATATAATATAGAATACGCTTTATATGTATCAATTTGGATCAGAAAAATGACGCGATTAACATTCCCATCTCGTCCTGATTCAATTTACGAATGATGACGACGACGACGAGGAGCAATCAGAATGCTCATCTCCTGAACTCGAAAAGAAAGAAGAAGAATAAGCAGAAAAAAAGACGATTACAGAAGATGAAGAGAAAAAAAGGAGACAAAATGAAAATTTGTTATTTTTAATGAGCCTCCAAGTGGAATTCTTTAATTTCATTTTTGTGGTATGAGAGAAATTTACGATCAATATGTTTTTTTTTAGTATTATTAAAAGCAATCGCACGGGGATCCATTAACAGCAATAAAATAAATAAGTGGAGGTGAGCGTAAGGTGTATAATTATATAATGAGGTGGAGAGAAGTAATATATAGTGTGAGTATGTTGCATATTGTTCCCACGGAACCATATAGAACTAAAAGCCCATAACAGAACTTAAGAATGTCAAAAGTTTTTGACGCTTCCACACCCTGGTTTTTCTCTCTCTCTCTCTCTTTCTCTTCACATGTGTGCGTGTCTGTCTGTGTGTATGTGTATCTCAATATCCATTAGCAGATATCACGGGCCGGAGAGCTCATCTCCTTTCATTCTTTTCTTACCTTTGGTCTCTATTACTCACCATATCCACTCCAAGTTGTTAATCATTCTCCTCTTGCAATTTCACTTCTCCATATAATTGCCTGGGAAGATTTTTCCCCCGATCCCACTACTTACATCCCATCCCATCTCTGAAATCAAGATAGCATCTTATAAAAATAAAAGTTGAAGAGAGATCTTTTCACAATATTGCATATTTATAAAGAAAACTGGTCGTTAATAAGAGATCCCAACGTGGAAATAATTTGTGAATGTGAAAGGACAAAAAAAATAAAATCAAGAGAATGTTAAGTGGAGATGATAGTGATCTTTGCATATCACGATAAGACTAAAATAATAAGTATATTAAAGAGGAGGAGGAGATTTTACCGAGATAAGGTGTTTCTAATGCGAGAAGACGTGTTCGAAAAGCGCGTTAGTACTTAATATACTCATGATTACAATTTTAATTGTAAATTAACCCATTGCCCTACAGGCTTACAGTGGATATGTTGCACAAGCAAGTATGTGAATCAATAGTATTGTAATTTATAGCCAGCAATTCTGCAACCAATCGCACATCCCAGGCAATTGTGGGTTGCAATAAGTATATTGTATATATTATAAATTATTGATATTCGGAATACACTAGTATTGTTGAAGCTCTTCATCTCCATTAAATATATACAACGTTACAGGAATAAGATAAATCTCATTATTTTAAATTCGCATTATATTTATTTGATGTAGACAGATCATCACAATTAATTATTTTTTTGATTATAATACTAGATAATCTATTCCTACATCTATTCCTACGAAAGACATAATTAATAATTAGCGTCTTCGGTTTATAAAAAGTAAAATTTAACATTTCAAGAGATAAATATTTAAATAATAAATTTTTATAATTAACTTTTCCTTTTACAGTTTAAAAAATCAAAACTTGTTTAGTTAATTGACTATTACATTTTTTTACTTTGTAAAAGTACGCTCCTGCATTACCAACATTTGCGATAAATATTTTCATTCAAAATAATAATTTAATTGATGAAAATTAGAAAATTTAAAACAAAAATAAGTAAAATCTATTAAAAAT